TATATATATATATATATATATATATATATATATATATGACATGTCTGAAATATCTATGCAGTGTCATTTGTAGATCCAATTTAACATATTTTTCCATATCACTCTGAAATTTTTAAATCTGCTTTCAGATCAGTCTGCCTTTTCTGGGGAAATCTGTTCCTCCTCCATGACATCTTTAAAGACAATGTCTATGATGTAGACAATCTTAAAATTAACTTCTGGTTCCATTGTTCACAAATATCCCTCAATACATCCAATGTTAAAGTATTTTGCTCCTTTCTGTGTCATTCAGTCAAATGTAAGTGTTCTTTAATTGTAATTTTTAGTTCCTCCAGGTTCCCTCTAGTGTCCAAAATTCCATCCTGTCATTTTTTTTAAAAAAGGAAGAATTGATGTAATTAATTTTAAAATCATATTTCAAATCCTTATGGAACATTAGTCCATTTATAAATCTCCAAAATTAATATTCTAAACATCCTTTTGCTGTTTATTCCAAAGCAAGAATTATTTAAAGTCCTTAAACCTGTATTTAACTTCTTTTTGGAAGTATCAAAGGAGATTCACCAATGCTATAAAACGTCATTCCAAAAAGCAATTAATAAGCAATTTCCAAATGGGATTAGAAAGGGAAGTGTGCAACCCTGTGCCGACTGCAATTTGGGCAAAGATGGTGTTCCCTCATCTCCCAGCGTTCTAAACCACAGGGGGCTGCTGTCTGGAGGTCTTCTCAAGAGGGGTAGCTGTCTGAGACACTTGAGAACAATCCCAACCTCTCTTTGTCCAAAGAGGAATCCCAAAGAGCCAGTCCACTTGCTGGCATTTCATTTCACCACAGTCATCAGCTCTGCTTTCAGTTGAGAAAGAGCCAATTTCAATTCACCATTTCTTCCCTTAAAGTGATAAGTAGTTCTTTATTACTGTATATTGATTTCAGTGAAAGAGTTGCACATTGGCTTTTCTTTCATTTATATGAATCGGAACTTAAATGTACCTATGGCCTAATACTGCAAATTAGCAATGATCGTTGTAAATGTCTCTTTAGACAAGATGCAGTTGTTCCTGTTATTCTTCTGCATCAGGATAATAACCTCATAACACCATTCCTGTTAAGATACTGCATCAGATTGTTAAAGGAGAATTTGAGATCTGCCTACACATTCTATGTTCCTGGCCCCTATGTGAGAAAATACGTTTGAAGTAAATTTAAACTTGCACAGACTGTTTTTTAGGAAATCTGATTGCTGCTGTTCATTCATGCATGCCATTAAAGATGTATTTGGCAAAATTAGGCCTTGGAGAACTACATCCAGCTCTTACAAATATTCTTTTTAGTTCATTCTGTTCTGATCACATTTCTACACTTACAGTTTTCATTGTACCCTAAATTATCTATGAAGTTCAGATACCAGTTTTGGTATCTGAGTGAATGAGATGTAAGCATTATTTGTATGATCATGTTCATATATAAATTAAACATTTTGCTTAATATAATATTTTAATATTTTAAATCTTCAGATATGGAGCTTCAAAAGTTCATCAGCTCTTCATACTTTGATTGGCCACAAAGGTTGTGTGAGATGCTGTACATTCTCTCTTAATAATGAATTATTGGCCACAGGAGATGACCATGGAGAAATAAGGGTATTTTATTTTTCATTATTTATTTAATATTTGGCATAATATAATATAATTGCTATGGATTGATAGGTTTTTTTTTATATTGATGAGTTTTGGGTGGTTTTGCTATCACTTCAAAGCAACAACATTAAAGAGGTAAAGAGGGATTTCAAGGATTTTTTCTGTTAACAAAAAACGTTAGGAATACAGAATGTGTTTACCTCTTATAGAACTAAGATAGCTAAGAGAGTGGGTGGAAGCTAGAAACAGGCTTTCTCAGTATGAGACCCTCATGGCCCTCAAATAATCTTTCTTAAAAAAACTTGTAGAATTCTCCCTTGTCTTCCTTCAACAAGACAGAGTTTGTATCATTAAAGTAGCTCTGCAGGCCAGCTCTGCCTTGAGTAGCAACTGTAGTTTTCAGGTAGTCTTCAGAGCAGCAGTAGTTAAGCACTGTAATAATGTAGTCTCAAGGTAGTGATGGCATGAGTCACTGCCAGTAGGCTATCTATTGCTGCTAGCAGATAAACCAAAGCTAGCTAACAAACTGCCAACTGCTGCTCCTGTAGAACATATAAATGTAGAAGTATACAGTACTACTACGTGGTTTTTTTCTCTCTCTGTATTTCTTTCACACATCTTTTATCATCAACATTTACAGGAAAAGTTCAGTTTTGTTTTGAGCTGTGCAAAAATGCATTTTTCTACTGTGAACATATCATCTGAAGCAAGAACCTGATTTATTACCAGTTTGGCCAAATATGTTAGAGCTAATTATGTAAGCTAAAGCCTTTTCTAAACTCAGAATGGCTTCTTGAATGCATGTGGATATATATCTAGCTCTAAACTCCTTCTCTGTTCTTAGAGATAAGCAGGAGTATTAATTATATTTGACTAGCAATCTCTAAGATTAGCAGAATAATTTCATCCTGGTCTGTTGCCATTACGTCCACTGCAGAGTCAGTCATTAAGAATATTCCATTGGTTGCCTCTCACTCAGTTGTCATCTCCTGAGACACTCTGGTATGTTTCCATCTTGGTTCCCTATCGTTTTCTTTTCCTCCTCAAACTTCAACAATTCTCATTCCAAGAGGAACTGATTTTCATCTTTTTGCCAGCATATCAGCCCCTTTTCACTTCTTTTTCCATCTGAGAAACATCTTGTCCAAGTCTTGACTGCTTATTAATATTTTCTCCCAGGTCAGTTTTATAGTCTGCACTTTTCAAAGTATGTACATTTGGGAGATTTTGTGACATGAGCAACAGACCCTTTTTACTTTATTTGTTCTGTCACAACACCAAGATGCCTGCAAGATCAGCCTGATCCCATTCACAGCAAATGCAAGGGATGATGGCAGGCCTAACAGTTTCTGAACAAATAGCATCCCCATCTTGCTGGGATTCAGTCTCAACCTGTTTTTTGCCATCTGTTCTTTCACTGTCTAGATACTGAGCTACATCATCCACTCTATTCCCTGCCTAGCCAGGATGAAATGTATTATAGCGTATTATCAGTGTACTGATGATTTCTCATCCTGAACTGACAAATGATCACTGCCAGTGGTTTTATATAGACATTAAATAACATAAGAAGAAGCAAGAAGTCCAGTGTCCATCTACACACACACACACAGAGCCCAAAAATACAGGATGACAGGATTTAATTACTCCCCTGGTTTCCATTTGGAACCATTTGGAACTACTGGTTCAGGAATGAAAAGAAGTGCTGCAAAACAATACTTCCAACTTCTAATCTCACACGTTTATACATTAATATCAGGCGTTGCATGAAACCTAATACTGTTTTAGATTTTTTTTAATTCCGCCTTTATTATTTTTATAAATAATTAAAGCCAGTGAACATACTTACTATTCCCCCCTCTTCCTATTTTTCCAACATAACTGAGGTGAGATGGTCTGACAGAGTGACTGGCCTAAAGTCATCCAAATGGCTTCCATGCATAAGGCAGGACTAGAACTCATTGTTGCCTGTTTTTTAGACCGAACTGGCTCTCTGGTTTCAAAGTTGTTTGCATTTTAAGATCAAAGGAAGACCATTGATTCTTACTAATTTAAAAGGAAGAATGGTCTACTTAGCTTCATAAAATAATACATTTAGGAAGTTATGGAGGTTTTGCAAGATGACTAATCTACAAGATATTGTGTCTTATGAATTCCAGAAACAGGAATTTATTTTTTATTCCTATTTCAACACCATCATTTAGTTGCTTTCTCTAAGATAGCTTACAAAAACTTAAAACTGTATGCAATATTTTACTGCATTTGTATTACAGGTTTGGAGTATATCAACAGGTAAACTACGTCACTTATATTTTTCTGCCACAACAAATGAAGGAGGATCAGCATATGGAGGCTGGGTGACAGGCCTTCATTTTTCTCCTGATGGTAAAGTGCTTGTTTCTTCTGGAGGATACATCAAGGTAAATTCAATAAAATTTTGTAAAAAGTGCAATTTTTAGAATTATTATATAAGCTAAGAATGCACACTCTTTTGGGGGGTCATTAAAATTATCTCTTTGAACTATATGATTGAATTAGGAAAAAAAACACCTCTCTTGTGTATGTATCTTTAATTTAGAAGTTTATGCAATAACTCTACAATTTGCCCATTCTATCCCATAGATTATAATTTGATGACAATTTAGAAGTACTTGTATACCTTGCCTAAGGCTCAGGTTACGAGATCTGAGTAATTAATATAGGAAGTAAATTTCAATAAAATAATCCTGATTTAGGGAAGATTTTGAAATCTATATTTGTATAGGTAATATGAATCCTTGTGTTCTGAAATTTGAGTCTTATGAATACTATATTTTTTCAAATGTGTAGTACAGCAAGAAAAGTATGCCACAGTTTGGTTGTGGCATATTTATAGGTTATTGTTATTTGTATTTTTCTTAATTATAAATATATTTTCTTTTCCTTTTAGTGGTGGAATGTGGATACTACCAGTAGTCAATCCTTACAAACTTTCTACACAAATGGAACAAATCTCAAATCACTGCATGTGTCCCCCGATTTCAAAACATGTGTGACACTGGATAATCTAGGCATTCTTTATGTGCTACAGATTATGGAATAAATTTAAGTTGTAATCACTTTTATATTTATAGTATTTTGAGCCAGGTGAATCCTTTCCTAATTTTTTTCTAACTTTCATGAAACTGTGATTTTTTTTACTATACATAGTACATTTGTAATTTCTTCCGAATCAGCACCTTTTTAAAAATATGTGGTTGATCAGAATGAAAATGCAATTTTTATTTTGCTCTTGGAAGTTGCACTGAATATAATTACACTATACTTTGATCACCAAAAAGAGCAATATGTGATAATGCAGTCATTGATCTAACAGCAAATGTTTCTAAATCATAAGCACATTTGCCACTCCAAGATTTTGTTTTAGATTTTTTTTTACTATTGTAATCTTGTCTTGATCCTTTGGATTGACAGGTGTTGTCTTGATACACAATGTGAATAATTGAAAATATCCGTGGCATAAAATGCCTACTGATATTGTCCTGTTTGAAAGATAATAATATAAGAGCACTTTGCTTAAAAACACAATAGAATTTTCTAAAGATAAAGTTTGGATGTTGGCTTAACATATTCCATTTTGAATCAGACTAAAATGTCACTGACAGCTAATTGTATTAAACCTACAAAAATGTATTGGGAAGAATATTTCACTTTTAAAGATAATGTATGATTAAGATTATTTTGTATTTTTCTTGTTTCCTTTTAAAAAATAAAGTATAATTGATTTCTTTTCCAGCCTGTATTTCTTTTAGTTTGTGTCTATGAATATTTAAATAAAACATACCTACTAAAATGTTCTTGTTGACATCACTAGATGACATATTTTCAAATAAATTGTCCTTTAATACTAATTCAGAGACAGTTGATTATGTATATACAGAATACAAAATTGATAATTAAGTTGTTCTCTTGGAGTGCATATGTGCACAAATGCAAATAACAACATGTAAAGTGAAGAGGGGGGACTCGTAATTGTTGTGCTGATAGGCAGATTAGAAACTCCTGCCAGATTTCTAGTTGTCTCTCTTTTTAGCTCATTTTATGAATGGAACCCAAAGGCTACCAAAAATATGTCTTGAAGAACAGGTAGGTACATTTCCTGTACCATGTGGAGTATCAACTTGTCAAAAGTAATTTGGCAACTTGACTCTAAACACAATGCCCTGACATTAAGAGGGTCAGAAAAGGCCTGTGGCAATAGACAAAGTTCTCAGGGATTGAACTGTAGATTTGTGAGTGGAAGAAGAGGTTGTAGAAGAGTGGTCCTTACCTGCAGTGAAAGATTTGGATATTAAGCTGGTATTCATTAGTAACAGGCCCCAAGAGGGGTGAGGTAGTGGAGAAAATGGACAGCGCTTTTGAGCAACAAGTATGAGTATCTGTGTGTTAACTTGGGCCATAGAGGCAAACTAGGGATCCTGGCTATCATAAGGTTGGGATTTGAGTCCCTTGTTTTTTGATGGAGTTCTATTGTCTGGTAAACTCTCATTCAGGGCAACTTGGGCTCTCAGTGTAATTTCTCCTGAGGTGCTTAGTTCATCCCAGACAGTATCTTGGTTTCAATAAGATTTCTGGAGGATGAAACAGCAGAAGCCATACCTTGAGCACCAATATTTACAAAAACTTAATCAAATTTAGCACAAAGCAGGGCTTATGTTCGAGTCTGCTTCATGCTGAAAAAGGAGGTGAAGCATCTCTACTGCTCCCTTGTGTTGGTGGGTTGTACTATTGGCAACTTTCTTTTTGTTAGGACTTAGCATATAAGATCTCTGCCAGGCTATTATAACTAGTTTATATGACATTTCACCAATAATATTCAAACCCACCAGTGTCTTGACACTCTATAGGGGCAGGATTTGATGTGATGAGTGCTGAAATAGAAAACATTATATTTGGGAATTCTTTTAGCCTGTGAAGTAAAAAGGATATTTTGAAGTATGATATCTGCTACCTCTGGGCTTGCTTCCTGTCCCTCTTGACTCATATGGTCTGGAAAAAGCATATTTGCTGGATCTGGAGGATAGCCTGCATCTGTTGGTGAAATAGGTTATTACAAACCCTTTTTCTATTTTTGAGACTTGCCAATTTGCAGTCTTCTGTTTTTTGGTAGAGTAAGAGGGTGCTGGAAAATCAGCTTCAAAGCATTGTGGAAGGAAGATTATCTGGCACATTTTCAATCTGGATTCAAGCATGGGTATGTGACTAAAACAGCATTGGCTCTCCTGGTTAATGACGTTTGTTGGAACTTGGATGAAAGGAATGTTTCTGTCTGGAGACATATTAAGGCTATTGTCAGACTTAAGTACCACAGCTCCAGTATCTTTGTGAACCATCTGTGAGGATTGTGGATTAGAGCATTCTTCTACAATGATTCTGCCCAGCATGCTAATAAATGAAGTTCTATTGATGTTTCCACGATCCTGTACTTTATATAATACTTGCATTTAATGTATTATTGTATAATTCTTGCTTCCTTGATTATGCCTTGTGATGGTCTCAACACTTACCTAAGTGGGAGGATCTCAAAACAATGACCCAGACTTTCATTGCTACTTACGTATCTAGGTTACACAACATGTATTCTATGAGTCTCCTTTTGAAAACAACCATGGCTGGCATGGCAGAAGGACTGGGGAAGAGTGCACAGGACTAACCCAGCAACAGGCAATCTTTCCTGTCAGCTTCCCAATTGAGTTTGTGGGGAAACCGGCAAAAAAAATCACAAAAGGCACTTGCAATTATGGGTGTTGGAACTTGGTTCATAAGTGAAAACCAATTGCCAAATGTCTAGATCATGATCATGTGACCATACAGATGCTGGGACAGCTAGAATGCCACTAGTTGTAACCACCATTTTTATAACTTTGAATAGTGCTGAACAAATAGTCATAGGTTGAGGACTACCTGAATTTGAAATACGTTCCCAAATCTATATTTTTTTCATAAACTCTTTACTTCAAAAGTGAACCAAAGAAATACATATAGGCCCCTATTCTAGCTTTATTCCTTCTTCCATTTTAACTTCTCTCCTTCCATTGCTTTGTATTGAAACAAATAAATTCCTAAAAACAAAAGCCTCTTTTTACTGTTAGCTTTTTTTTATCATATTGCACTAAATGTAGACAATATGAATTTCAGATTGCACTGGGCATTAGACCATTATTTTTTCCATACTCCTTGTCATTTCAGAATGCCTGATGCTTAATATTATCCTTACTAAATTGTGAAAAAGCCAGTGCTGACTGTACAATTTCAATTTATTTTGTGTGCTTTTGAAGGATATAAATAATGACCAAAATTACAAAATTTATAACTGGAAGCCCAAGCATATTTACAGAGAAGAATTTGTTGCAGTGAGGCTACTATTTGCTTGTTCCTATACAATGTTCCTTTGGGTACTATTTTCAGTGTTTAATATCAGCCTACTACATACATATCAACAATGATAGGCAAAATATATACAAGGAACTAATTGGTTCAAGTATATTGTATTAAAAGGTTCTTTTGTCATCCAGCGCTATGATTAGGATCAACTAAACCATATACAATTTTCAGTTTTAAATCGAGTTTCATTATCAATTTTGCTAAAAATTCCATTGAGTGTAACTGAATTTTCAGTTAGATATGAAAGAATAATAAAAAACATTGAAGTCAACCACACTATTCATAAATATCTCTATAATGATGTCCAAAATGACTCACAATTTGACTGGATAGAATATACATTTAAAATGCTGTTTTTTTGCCTATGATCAATATTTTTACTGTAATTTATTCAGTTCCACTGAAATATACATAAATGTTATTGTACAAATACTCCACGAAGACATTAAAAAATTAAAATACTTGAAAACAAAACTGTAAGCAAATTTCATTAAATTCCATGTTAAGCCAGTGCTCAACAGGTTATTTTGTGGAAACAATGTATATTACTTTGGATATTTTTAAACTTTATTTAGGAAAAAAATCTTTTGAATTTAACTTTTTCATTAAAATCAGCTGCGACAGAAAATTTAGTAAAAATTCCAGTTGGATTAAAACCATCTTTGAAACATTGATAAGCTTAAATGCATGGCTATAATAACTTGAAAAACTGTGTACAGTTGCATTTTTCTTAGTGCAATTGCTGGGCAGCTTTTATTTTACTCTTCCAAAGTACAAAGCATCCAGTTTATAGATGACACCACTGTTACCACTGTTGCAAACAGTACAGCAGCAGTTTAACTTCAAATTAAATCCAAATTCTCTTCATAATTAATGATTTTCTTTATCATAAATATTCACACTTTTTCATATAATTTTTCCTCTGTCACACAAAAATATTAAATACAAGGTGCATTTTCATGCATTATTAATTCCTCTTCTTAAAACCATTTATCAATCTTAACACACTGCTATATAGAACCTCTTTTCTCCAGATGATTAAATGGCATGTAGTTTACAAAAAACAGCAACTAACAAATGAAGGAAATTAATAACTTGCTATTATTTTTTAAACATATTAAAACAAAAATTATATAGGATTTTCATAATTTCTCAAATATTGTATTAAATAATCTGGGTCTATTTCAATATTTGCCAAATAAGAAACCCAACTATAACTGAACATTGTATTACTAAGCAGCATTAATGTTAGAGACCTTTGTAAAAGTAGAACATTAAAATATGAAATCAAAGAAAGCACTGTGGCAAAGTCCTAAGAAAATTGCGTGCACGAAAACTATCTCCTACTCCTCTCTTGTGGGCTCCTTCAAAAGTCTTCATCCCATGTCATTCTTCTGTCAACGCTGCAGGAAGAACAATCACCAGAAATGACCAGCAGCCTTTATATTTATATATATATTTATTTATATATATTTATGTTTTTGCTAGTTTCAAGGCCACTCAGTGCAGTCTTCCTCTCTGTTAGATTGAAGAGTTGCTTATCATGGAAAGGCTGTGCTGTGACTGCTTTGAGTGCAAGGCACAACAAGAAATGATGAACAGTTCATTATCAGAAAATTGTGGTTTCATACTTGGTATTAATTCCTCTTTTAGCTTCTTGTCCTGGTTCTACAATCCATGGTAGATTGGTAAGAGTCTTTTGTTCAGTGGGATCCATCTGCTTTGAAACAAATAAACACAGGAATGCTTTATCTATTTAAATTACAGAATTTTAAAACTATGTTTAAAGTTTGTCAAGATGGCACATTACCTGGATGTACCATATATAGTTTTTTTCCCCCCTACTGATGATCCAGTAGGACATTGATAGTTAATTTTCACTGTACTCACAAAATTGTGCTGCTGGAATGAAACACATTACACTAAATCTGAAATGGTGGTATATAAACTTACACCATCATGCAGCATGTGAACCTTACAGATTTGAAAAACAGATTGGACTGCAAGACTCGCATTCTCTTTTGACTTTGAAATTACTCTAAGTACATATATTCAAAGTACAGCTGTTTAGTCAATATCACAAAAAAGCAGCAGACGATCAGGAGCACCAAGCATATACATCTCCAGCAATTTGAAGGAGGTGCATATAAAAGTTGAATAGCGAATAGTGTTCCTCAGCTGGTTGTAATGTATGCATAGGAATGTAACATTTCATATGTTCAAATAAACTCCAACAACCATAAAATTACCAAAACATAAAGATGTTTTCATGAAAACTTGCAAATACTTAAAATTCAATGTTGGCTATTTTTTTCTCCGGCTGAAAGCAGCACAATATTGGTTGGAGCAAGCGTATAATAAACTTAATATCACATATTTTGGTTCTTCCTGGATTTTGAGATGAAAAGAGGGATACCTAGGCTGCTAAAAGGAGGCAGGGTTTTCCCACTCCTCCTGTAAATTTGCGATGGAGATAGAATTTGAATTCTTGTTTCCAAACTCATGGACTGTTTAATACATTGAAACAAAAAATTATATAGCTGTCCTCCTCCTGCTGCCTTTTCATCAGATAAGCATCTCCAGGTTTACCTAGGAATCATCACTCAGGCTGTTGTGGGAATCACATGAAAGGAGTGGTTTTTCAAGCCTGCAGAGTTGGAAAGTAAGGCTTGAAAACCCACTCCATGCATGTGTACAGTTTTAACCTTCACATGTGGAGATACCAATCAGAGTTCTGCCAACTATATTATGTCCTGCTACTCCTGATTTTATTTACAAGATGTTCTGATTTTCATTTTGTTTGATTTTTATCTTTTTATAACTGATATAACACTTATCATTGTATATCATGCACAATAAATACATTACAAATGGGTATAAGTGATACTAACAACTAATAAGTATTAGGCATTAATTGCTGACAATTTGATCTTTATAATAACCATTTGGGAAGTTACCATATTTTCTGAGTATAAGACGCACCTTTTTTCCTCAGAAAAGAGGCTGAAAATCTGCATGCATCTTATACATCAAATACAGCATTTTTTTGCCTCCCAAAGTCCCGCCCTCTTCCCAAAAATGGCTGTGTATACCCTTATAGAGGCTTTCAGAGAGCTCCTGGGGGTTGGGGAGAGCAGAAATGAGCAGAAATGAGCAGAAAATGGGCCGTTTTTTGCCTCCCCAGCCCCCAGCAGCACTCTATATGCCTCCATAAGGCTATGCGTGCAATTTTTTTGACAAGAAACGGGCCCGTTTTCACGAAAAACAGGCCGGTTTTTGCTCGTTTTTGCCCCCCCCTGGGGCACTCTGCAAGCCCCCCCCAAGGCTATTCGTGCCTTTTATTTGTGAAAAATGGGCCCATTTTCGTGAAAAACAGACCGTTTTTGGGAAGTTTGCAGAGTGCAAAAACTTTTTCCCCCCTTTTGGAAAGCTCTTTAGTTAGAGTGATTGATGACAATTGCATTGATCAAGTGCTGTGCCAGCAGAAACAAATCTTAGGTGCTGCAGGTTGTCAGCTATTTCCTTCTCCAGCACATAGATAAATACACCTGGAAACATCTACCTACCTACCTATCTACCTACCTACTTACTCTCTCTCTCCCTACCTACCTATTGTATTTCTCTCCTCTCTCTCTACCTACCTACCCTCTCTCACTACCTACCTACTGTATTTCTCTCTCCATCTATCTGCCTACCTACTCTCTCTCCCTACCTACTATATTTCTCTCCCTCCCTCTCTCCCTACTTACCTACTCTCTACCTACCTACCTACTGTATTTCTCTCTCTATCCCTCTATCTACATACCTACCTACTCTCTCTCTCCCTACCTACCTACTGTATTTCTCTCCCTCTCTCTCTATCTATCTACCTACCTAGCTAGCTACTCTCTCCCTCTCCCTACCTACCTACTAAATTTCCCTCTCTTTCCCTCTATCTACCTACCTTTTTTTTTAATTTGCCTCTTCAAAACCTTGGTGCGTCTTATACTCCGGTGCATCTTATACTGCGAAAAATACGGTAATTTTCTGTCAGTTCTTTTGCATTCCTCCCCAATCTACAGGTTGATGGTGGATACTTTTTGGTTTATTACAGATCTATGCGCTTGGTCATGCCTCTTCATTTTACCCCTTCAGTCACAATAACCCTGAAAAATATGGCTATGGGGATCATGAATTCAATAATATCTGGAGAGATGCATGTATTGATCTACTGTATTAAAACACCTGGGCGGCAAGCCAGAATAGAACATAAAGAGAACATTCCGAAAGAAACAATTGCAAAAGGATTATTAAGAAAACTACATGGATGTGTCCATGTAATCATCAGGAGTTGAGCTTGAAGTGTCTTTCTTTTACTTTACTTACTGATCATTAAACCAAGCAACAGCCAATATAGAGGCACAATCTTATACTGGATATAATTATCAATTGTTTACTAAAGACTTTACCAGTAGCATGGTTAGAATTACCTTCAAGAATGCCTTTAATATCAAACTTCTGAAACTGTAAAATTAAAAATTTAGCTAGTTACAGTAAATGCATATTTGGAGTAAAATAGCAATAATAGCAATAACAGTAGACTTATATACCGCTTCATAGGCCTTTCAGGCCTCTCTAAGCGGTTTACAGAGTCAGCATATTGCCCCCAACAACAATCCGGGTCCTCATTTTACCCACCTCGGAAGGATGGAAGGCTGAGTCAACCCTGAGCCGGTAGATTTGAACCGCTGAACTGCTGATCTAGCAGTCAGCCTGCAGTGCTGCATTTAACCACTGCGCACCTTGGCTCTACGAACACAGGCCAAGAACATTTATCACATACTGATACCAAGTTTCTTCTATATGGATTATGGTCTTACTCACCACAGATTTTCGGATGCTAACACGTGGTTTTGGGATTGGCTTGGTAGGTTTATTATCAAAGCTTTCAGGAAGTGTTGAAGAATGGCCTCCTTTTCGAGCCTGAAGTGCCAGTTGATAAGCTACTTCAAATGCCTGTCCCAATGTGAGAATTATTTCATAGGCTAAATTCTGGAATAGCAACAAACAGCAGGATTAAGCTAATTAATATGAATATAAGTTTAAAAGAAAATCTTAAATATAGGGTAGCTTTGATTAATTGTTAAAAGGCTATATTAATTGCTTTTTGCGCATCAGTGGTGTTTTATCATTTTCTATGACTGACACATTAAAAAAACTATGTAGAAACAACATACTTGATTTCTTCCCTCACCTACAATAAGTTGAACATTCAAATGTAAATATTCAGTCAATCATACATGCTATCTGTAGGAAGATATTAGGTGTAGGACATAATGAATACACAGAATTCTGCAAATAATACTGTATTTACCTGGAAGGAAGACGACTTCTTCCTGAATTCTACATGCACCCTCCCCCATGAAGAGTACATGGGGAAAAATAGAAATTTAACAATTCTGTGCAATATCCAGCTCCACCAGCTTTTCAACATAGGATTGCCAATTCTGCCTAAAAGCAATCCTGGAGAACACTCTTGCCACCAATGTGAACGTGTCTGTCTATGTGTCATACTCGTATGCATATATATGTATGAGTATACTGTATCTGCCAGAAGCTACACTGTAAAAATAGGTAAGGCCAGAACCAACAAATTTATTGTCTTTAAAATTAATTGTCCCATTTATAAAATTAATACTGTCATAATCAGAAACTCACGAGTATACACTACACATTCCCCTTCCTTCTTCCAGCAGAAACTGTAAAGACAAAGGGATAAGGGACAGTAGGGAGAGAGGGGGAAAATTGCACTGGGAAGGGGAAAGAAAGGGAAGGAAAGGAAAAAGGAAACAGAACAAAACTAGATGGAAAGAAAGTGAGGGGAAGAGCTGAAGTGTAAACACGGTTTCTCTCATTTCTTCCCTGTTTAATTATTTCTTCCCAGTTACCTCTTTATTTTCAATAGCCTCCTCTATTACCAGTTAATGGCAGATAATTCCCCCCTAATTATTTGGTGGGTAAAAAGGGAAGAGAAACTCATGCTCCTATTTATTTATACTTATTATCATTTTAAGAACAGTACTGTGAGATTAAACAATCTATTTTACTTGGTTACGTCTATTGAAATTACCATGTGTTCATTTTTATAGGTTACTGCATAACATAAAACATCATAATCCACATTGAAATGCAGACAATAACAATGATAAAAAAATTGATGTTTTGCAAACTTTCAATCCTTTACACAGATAGCAACTGTACATTGGCTTACTTCATCAGAATCTTAAAATTAATACTCATAAATCCGTTCATACATGCTGACCTCACACTGGCCATGAAATGGGAGGTCTGCTTCTTGAAACTTCCATTATTTGAAAGCCAGTAATACTTCCAAATGAAACTTTTAAAGATATTTTTGTAAATTGGATTAATCATGCAAAAAGAGATTACAATTGTTTTTATAATTTATCCTTTATCACTATCCAATCATAAATATCAGGGAATGAGACAAGCAGACTCCATAAACTAGTTACTAAAATGATGTACTAAAATTTAGGTTTGCTTATTTATCTGTTAAATTAATAACTTTTCTCTTGTCCTTCTGAGGTAAGATAGGAATCACAACTAGGTGAGCAAATTCTACTTTATTTTAAAGCTACATTGTAAGAATCTTGTAAGTCTGAAAATACAATTCTTTCCCCTTCTCTCGGTCTCCTTTATAGCCCAAGAAACTAGGGAGAGTCTCTTCTGAGCCTCTTCTCCAATCCACTCTCCAGTTGCAGGCTATGCTGTCTCTTATCTTGTGATTCCCTTGGTAGCATCTCTGCCCAGTCTCCCAAGTCTTTCCCACATAATGTTACCCATCTTAATGTAAAAAGGGTCCTATGTAGTATCCCTGCCTCTACTTGTTCTCTACAATAAGGAGACAAATTGGATGAATAAGGGACTAAACAAAGTCACCCACTAAATTTCCAAGCTGAAGGATTCTTGAACCTTAATCATCCAGATTTCATATTTTAGTATGTTTGACATAGATTTTAAAGAAGAAACTATGCAACAGCAAACTTGCCTATTAGTCTTGTATTATTTATTTTGCTAGTGATTATAAAATTCTACATTGTTAAATTCATTCTCAGCCAGTTGGGATAGACAAGGTTTACACATATTGATGTAGGTGATATATATTTGTATATATTTTGTTGGTGTTTTTATTTAGCCAATTATGAAGCTTATTCTGTGGAATTACATGTGGTTTGTTGGAATGTGCTGATACATTCTGGCAACATACTACTTAAAATATTATTTGACATTATTTATGTACTGATTACTGGATTAGAATGTTCTACAGCAGCCTGGGAATGTAGAGTAAACTCTACACTCTGACTTCAGTGGGAAGTCAGCCTACAGTATAATGCTGGGGGAACCATAACAAATCATTCTAAATGTTTCAAGCTGACATTCCATGAGCTTCTAAAGCTCATGCTTTTCAGACCACACTCCACAACACTAGCAGTTATTTTAATTAAATTAAACATCTGAAATTGTAACAGCCACTGAAAATCCAAAGTTTCTATCTGTAGTGTGTGTGTGTGTGTGTGTGTGTGTGTGTGTTGTATTTGTGCTGATAAATAAATAAAGGGAGACTAGTATAGATCTATTTCAAGCTATTTAGCTCTCATCAGCTAGCCATTCCCTTACTGGGATTAGAACCTGTGCTGTATTGCATCTTAGGCAGATCTGTTAACCACTAAGCCACAGGATTCTTCTCCTTATCAGCTGAGCCAGGGAGTACTAACTCTAAATACATACATACATACATACATACATACATACATACACACACACACACACACACACACACACACACACACACACACACACAAAATCAATAGTTCATTTTACTGTTGGAATTTAATTCCAAATATATGTCTGCATTATAAGGCTGCAATTATATGCTTTAGATCAGATTGGTAAGTGCAATATTAACAAAACTCATTTTTCAAGTTTTAGGCACACTGGAAATTTGCTCACAGAACACAGGAATACTAATAAAAACCCAGCATTTTAACTCACAAAAGATTTGACCGTCAGTGATAAACTGTACCATTGCAAAGATAAAAATTCACATTTTATCAGCATTTAAGGAATATAGCTATGGCAAATTTCACTGGGTTTAAGCTGATATACAAGTCTTAAAGGCTTAGAATGCTTACCTCATAGAAAATACCACTTTATCCTTTTTTGTCAAAAAAATAAAATTTTGAACTAATCATTATTTGTCCCAGAATGCAGCACTATATGCTTGGATAGACTGAACTTATGGAGCTTTGTGAACTATATGCAGAACTGGTGGTTACTAGTTGCTCATTGCAATTGAAAATAATTCTTAACTTCCAATTATTTTGTCATGAAGAAGCAGCAAATTCCTTCACTTAGTTAGAGGATAAACCACTTGGCAAGGAGGTCTGAGAGGTTGCAGGTTCCCCTTCCAACCTAACCATAACCCAACCAGAGAAGTAGCAGCAGCTATAGACAGCTTCTTCCTTATCCTGTGCCCCCCAAAAACTCATGCTTTTAAATGTCAGTGAGCCCAATTAAATCCAGCCCTATCTTTATATGTGTTACATTATGTTTTCTCGTTAAGTTTTTCTCAAACCGAATCATCAAAATATGTTTTTTCAAAAATTTCAAAAATATTATATAACTGTCTATTTAGGCAAGCACAAGCATGAAAATCTTGTTCAAGATATTCTGCCTACACATTAAAATCCTCAGTTGGATTATTTCACTTGTACAGAATCATATGTAAATTGTAGTAGTCAGCAAAGTCTCTTCAACATATACCCATAAATATCCATTTCTAACCACAAAGATTCTAAAAGTATGAGTTGTTGCACAGAACAGTGTTCCCCAATCTTTGCGTCTTGGCAGACTAGCAATGATAGCAGCGGAATGAAAGGGGAGAGGGGATCATTTTATGTGCCTGTGCACTGCTTTCACAAATGCAGCTTACACACTTGCCCACGTCTTCCGCAGCCCGGTTCTGAAAGGGTTGCAGCCCGGCACAGAGCCAGTGGGGAGGGCTGCGGATTGGGGACTGTGGCATAGAAGTACATAAGAAAAAATAGCTGGTATCATGCTGTGACGGGCAGACCCAATGGCCTGTTCGGTTGTATTTATCTGGATAATGAGTTCTAAGAGCTTCAGACAAAGCCTGATTACTTTTAAAATTTCAGTTAATGACTAAAGCATAGAGGAAAGAGAGAGGAGCTATCTGAATATTAAGATGGCAAAAATTACATAAAATATTATTTGTAAAACTGGAGCTTTAAAATTATTCCTCATATGCTCAGATTTTGTTCTAGGAGATTCACAGCTAAAACAGACAGGCAGATATGCCTACCCTCTTTTATTATGGGGAGCAATAGTTCATAATAAAGAAAGGTGTGCAAATATTCCTTGTCTATTTTTAAATATTTATTGGAAAAATGTATTTTGAGGAACCTGAAGTTCATGGCACACTTGTCCTGCAAATATTCTGCCTATATTTAATTGCATTTTTCCAACATAACTACTCAGGAAGACTTTAATGCAATATTTTATAATGCTTTCATCTTTTTTCATTATTGAGAGTTTATAGCACTGGCTATGCCTAATGGAAAATAGATTTCTAAAATATTAAAATATAAATTTGAATTCTCAAGATATGTATCCTGATATTCAACCTACTACTAATATATGGGAAAAACAAATGACCATGTTGTCTTAACACAATTACTAGGCAAAAAAAAAATCCTTTGTACAAGATCTATTTTATGTTTTGTCTTCAACAAAACTTTCTCATGTTCATAACATCACATTAGTACATATTTCTAAGTATACAGAAGACTCAAATAAGCATCACCTTAATAAATCCAGCAACCCTTCCCTAATCCAATAATACCAGACCAACATAGGGATTGACAGCATACTAACATTAAAACAGATGTGACTGACATTTTTGGCTTACTTTTGTTACTTGGGATGGCAGTATGCCTGGGAATAGGAATAGTTCATTTTTTTGGCGTCCTTAAGCTCCATATACACATGCATGCATGCACATACACAGACATTCACAAAAACAAAACACAACCACAAAGCTTAATTTTATTCATTTTGGCATGATTCTGGGTCATTTTTAAGATACATAACGAAGGATAAACAGAGATGTGGATTTTCCAGAAAGAAATAAAACTGATTTTTTTTTCTATGCACATTTGCCTAAATTTCCCTAATATGCATTAACATTTGCGGTACACTATTTGGTCTGAAGAATATTTGCATTTGGCTATTTTACTAACTTTCAAACTTTACATAGAAATGAACTAAAAGTTTCAATACGTAGAGAAAAAATTTATTGGAATGTTAGAAACAAACATTGAGCAGTAAAGTAAGCAACAGAACAATAGAGATGGTGCTTCATATGATGGGCAAATTAGGTCATAATGTTCCTTCCAGAAATGGTTTCCAGTCACAACAGGAGGCACGCTTCCTGCAAATATAGTTTTAGCCATTGTCTTGTCTATTTTTCCTTGCTCTTCTTTTAACATTTTTTCAATAAAGGTCAATTGCCCATCTTGACATGAACTTAAAATGGATAGTACATCCATGGATAGTACATCTGGTGATTAATCTTTGAAGTTCAAGATTTCGCAAATTATTACTTGTGTTACCAAGTTCCTGCAATAAAGCAAAGGGATTAATATTTTTATCTGCTTCTTCCTTCCATTAGAATGATTATTTTTTTAAAAAACAAAAACAAAAGCTTCAGTAAGCAAGCTTTGTTTTTATGTTTTACATCAAGAAAACACTGCACATCACAGATCTATACCAGATAACTGTTTGAGTACGAGGCTTTTATATAATCTCTTTGCTCAAGTCTAAGGTCAAATGTAGCAAAGGAATCCATGCTATTGCTAGCCAGAAGAAAACTTTGGATTAAGACTTAACTTTATACAATCTAATTAATTTCTCATTTTTCATGATAAATGCTGGGACCACTGCTTAGTCAAATCAAATATTAATTAAAATAACCTAGCAAATATCAGTCAATATACTTACATAGGATTCTTGATGTAGGCTTCTTTCAGATGATTTTTCTTCATCCCATTATTTTATTAGCTTTTCAGAAACAAAAATGATGTGTGTTCTTTTACAAAAGTTTCTGCATTATCTTAAATCCTTCTTCATCCTTGTAGTATTATTGGAATATTCTTCTTGGCAATCTTCTTCTTACCTGAAATAGTTTCTTCATAACAATGCCATACATTTATTGTTGTGTGAGATTCAGGCCTGAGGTGGGGATTACCAGCACATGTCCCTTTCAAGAATACCCATTACCCAGGGTAATAACTCAAATGCCAGGATCGAGAGAGGGCACATGTGAAGCGGCCTTTGGCCTGCGGGAAGTTCATAGTTTGTCCACATGGATGCTAAAGAAGAACAAGAGTTTCTTGTCTCTGATTTTTCTGTAGCTTCTCTAGCTGATTACTTCTACCCATTCCAAACATTGGAACCAGAAATCCCTGCTGCTGTTGCTTTTTGATTTTTTTTTTTTTGAATGAACACCTGTGGAGCAAGTATCGTACAATTGTGAAACTGCTAAATTTACCTGAAAAACTTTGACCTGGAAAACCTGCATTTCTGATTAAGAATGAGATTGTTCACCATCATAAGGCCCCCATCCTTACAATTTTTAAAGGGAGAGAAAATCTGAAGTTTGTCCATTTGTTATGATTAGCAAACACCATCTATGTAAAGTGTTGAAGTACCAGAAGATTGTATGCAGCTCAGGTATTTCCACCTTCCCTATACAGAACACACATGGTTCCCCTAATCATGTTTTCAAGTTTTCAAATTTCAAGTTTTATATATTCAATTTTCTTTGAGCGGATGGAGGCTCTGTACACAGACTAGTGATATGCACTTCATTTGGAGCAGCACATTTTGAACCCATTAGTTAAAGTATAGAAGCATTGTGGTGGTATGTGGAAAAGACCTTGGGAGACAGGAGGAAAACCAGGGGTGGGTTCCTGCCAGTTCTAACCTCTTCTATAGAAGAGGTTCCACAAATCTACAGTGCCATTTAGAACCGGTTCCAGCTCCCTCCCCCCGCCCGTCCACACATCATCAAGATGAAGAGCGAGAGGAGGAATTCTGGGAGTTGAAGTCCACAAGTCTTAAAGCTGTTAAGTTTGAACACCCCTGGGGGTTTTTTTCTAAAGGGTTAGGGATGCAAGGGTCTCGTAACTTGATAGCTTTAAGACTTGCATGCTTCGAATGCCAGAGTTTCTGAACCAACATTTTGGTTGCTAAGCAAGAGCATTGTTAAGTGAGTTTCACCACATTTTACCAGTTGGCCACACCCACCCAGTCACATGGCTGGCAAGCCACTCCCACAAAGCAGGCCACACCTACAGAAGAGGGTTCTAAAAAATTTTGAAACCCACCACTGAGGAAAACCCATAGCCTAGGCAACAGTCTGATTAGAGACAGCTCAGTCTGCAACTGGATGAAAATCAGGGAAGCATTTCAAATGGAGTCCACCCTAGTTTTCCAGAGATTAAAAACAAATGAAGAGAAAAATACTTTCAGACTTGCAAGTTTTTGTTTGATGTAACCTTACAATAAAGATAATGCTGATAGTCCTGGTAGTACTTCTTCTTTAGACTACCTCAAGGGAATAACAAGTTCCATATATTATAAAGGACTCAGTGCAATTGGTCAGGGGTGTCAAGGACCGCGGGCTGGATCCGGTCCATGGGGTGCTTAGATCTAGCCCGGGTCCTGCCCTGGGAACAGTGAAGGACCGGTTGGTGGTGTCTCTGCCAGCAAAAACAGGGTTTAGGAGGGCCGCAAGCTCCATTTTCACTGGCAGAACGCTTGGGCCACCAAGGTGCCCCCAACATGAGTGACATTGAGCTGGCCATGCTCTCCCAACCCTCAAATGAAATTGATTTTGACACCCCTGCTCTAGGTGCACATACAGGACTGTAATTGCAGATGTGCAATTCATGACAAAATTGCTGCATGATTCATGACAAAATACCTCACTCTGCTATGGAATCTGTTGTCCCAATATATAGCAATGTCTGCATTTGCTTCAAGGGGGATTAATGGTACATATGGCTCACTAGATGTTGATTGAACGTTATTTTTAATATCAGAAGCAGTATGCTTTATACAACATTAGTTATTGGGAAAACATTATGTTCACTTCATACTTTGAACTTTCCATGGGCATCTAGATGGCCATTGTGAAAATGTAGGTGTTTGTTTAAACTCCCTAACTTTTCATTCGCCTCTTGCTTTCATGGGATAGCTGCAATATATTACTTTTTAAAAAGGAACTTAATTATAACATCACAGTGATATGAAGCATTTATATTAAATTTTAAATAGTGGTTATTATGCGATTTACTCATCGGTACCAGAACTGTTCTACAGCAGCCTTCTTCATAACTGAAATTATACAGGAAATGTCAGGTTTGTTAGCTATCACATAGAAAAAAAATGATAGACCAACCACATCAAAGGCTGTGAACACATGACAATAATGGTGATTTGTCTTCAAGTCTTTTGTAATATAAGCAAATGTTGAGAGGTCTTCGGGGTCTTGTGCCGCACAGGAAATGTTACGAATCTCATGTTCAGCAATAATATTCTAAATGTAAAGAAAAGAAATAGTTGTATATATTTAACATTCCAATCTAGTTCCCAATATTTTATAATATTCAGATTTTACATTGTTACTAATACAAATAAAATGATAAGCAAGCGATGTAGCTGTATTTAAATTCAGCAATAAGCAAAATGTGTTGTTTCCTTTGTTGTTCTGTGCTTCTAAACATTTGATTTTATGGCTGAATTCATTAAATCGTTATTTCCCTCTCTACTGATATTGAAAGTCAAAATATCTTTAAAAAGAGTAAGATGTTGTAGAAATATCTATTTAAAAAGGGGTTTTTTGCATGTTAGTTACTGAACAGGTACCTGTTCTAATGATACTGAGAATAGAAAGGATGTGGTAGATAATTTAGATTACTGATGGTACAAGAAAAAACAGCATTATTTTACAGATTTGTTACTGGTTGTTAATATGCAAATAGAATTCATGTACTAGTTTAGTGTAGTTTAATATTTAATTCCTCTATTAGATAAAAAGACAAAATGTATTAGTTCATAAATATATTCTGTTATCAGAGTAAATGATACAAAATCTTTCTTTAGGCTTTCTTTTTTAAATTTAGGAATTAGTAAATGGAATATATAAAATGCTATAGAAGTTAATTTATGGTGCCAGACATAAATATTTAACAGGAGTGTGAAGACAATTTGTTGAACCATATAAACTGAGTGATACTATCCAGATTAAAGGTAAAGGTTCCCCTCGCACATATGTGCTAGTCGTTCCCGACTCTAGGGGGCGGTGCTCATCTCCGTTTCAAAGCCAAAGAGCCAGCACTGTCCAAAGACGTGGTCATGGACCACGGTCATGTGGCCGGCATTATTAAACGCCGAAGGTGCACGAAACACTGTTACCTTCCCACCAAAGGTGGTTCCTATTTTTTCTACTTGGATTTTTACATGCATTCGAACTGCTAGGTTGGCAGAAGCTGGGACAAGTAATGGGAGCTTACTCCATTACGTGGCATTAGGGATTCGAACAGTTACTATACAGATTACTGTAACATAAATATTTATTTATTTTATTACTTTATTCATGAAATCTATATACCACCTCAATCCAATAGGACTCTAGATGGTTTATTTATTTTATTATTTTATTCATGAAATTTATATACCACCTCAATCCAATAGGACTCTAGATGCATTAGAAAATATAAACCAATGTAAATAAAACTGAATCTGGCATCAAAGGATCTGCATAACCACTCCAGTCTTTAATATTACAAAAAGATATATACCTTTATTATATCCATTTTATGAATATTTTTCATAAAATATGCATTTATTTCATTAAAGCTAAGCAACTATTATTCTACATACATTTTGCCTACAAAAAAAATCACAATCACATTAATAAGCTTTAATTTTTAAAATTCTTTAAACTAACATTTTGATTAACATTATTTGATTCTACGCTGCTGTTGGCAAAACAATATTTCAGGGTTTTTTTATTCCTTCTATTGCTACTTTCAAAACTGTTGGATTAAAACACTATGGATTGTTATTATGTTTACACTGATTATAATATATTTCTGCAAATGAAACCATAAATGTTGCCTAAACAGCATTAGCAATGCTGTTAAGAAAAAGTCTTCAATATTCTCAGAAAGGAATTAAAATTAGAAGAAGTATTTGTGCCAAAACCAGAAACTGGAATAGCTTAATAAGCCTTGTCATTTTTAATGTACATTTCCAACTTAGTTCTATTTCACTGAAAGATCTGTTAAAATTTGAATTCTTTAGTTCAAATCCCCTCTTCCTCCTAAAAGCATGGAAATCATAAATCTAGTTTTGGTTCAATATAAATAAAAAATAACTAGACTATGATTTAGAACCGTAAATGCAGTCTTTTTTTCCTTTTCCTTGTGTTTTATTGTTATATACTACCTAGCACTCTTTAGAACCAAAGCAAGTTAAGAGGCAATTTCCTGATTTGCTTGATTCTCAAGAACTTTGGGAAATTGCCTCTGGTTTTTATGCTCAAAATGGGAAAAAATAGACTTAAATTTAAAGATTAAATAATTGTGTAGTACAGAAATGGCTTGTAATAACAAAACACTGAGGCTGTAAATATAGTGATCATTTTACTGTACTGGGAAAAATCAGATGTGTCTTTTTTCTCTTCTTTTTATTCTGTCCCTCCCTTTTCTCCTATTATTTAATCTTTATTTTCAGTTTCATGTACTTTATATTATATTATAAGAAACCTCAATAAGATCTTCAAAAAGGAGAACTAAAGCAAGTTAAATAAATGAATAAAATATGCAGTCTCCTTTTACTAAAAAGCGGAGAAAATAATTGTCCTTTCATTAATGCCACATAGTTAATCATCTGTTGTTTCCAATGTTGCAACAGAGCAATGCACATGCATAGTCTCAAAAGGAATTTGAGATGGTGGCCTACACCTATGTATGAGCAAAAGGAGTTCTTAGGGACTGCCATTTCCCAATAGTTTCTGCTGTTCTGGAGGGCCTTTGGGGTGCAACGGCTAGTTTCTAATGCCAGTTTGATCATAAAAGAACATAAAGTGGAAAATGCAATCAAAGCCATGTTAAAAGAAAATATACAGCACACTAGTTAGCAATGAACTGTGGACCAAGGCATGCACCATTTATCCTTCTTCTCTATATCTATTGGATTACTGCTATAATCATGCCACTCTTCCCCGTTTCTCAGGTGATTCCCAGAGGTATCATGAATTTTATATAGAATAGATGATTTACTTTCTTTGACATTACAATGAAGACTCCTAAAAACCTAAGATTATATAAGATATTTAATTATCAAAGGAACAATTAAAGAGCCCCAATAAGCTCCGTTTGTACTTAAGTTGGAAATGTATGTAAAAATTGTGATTATTTCAAGGAAACAGACATAGACACAAGCAGGTTCATGAAATTTCAATACCTTATGCATCTTATTTTGAAGCTGGCCCGGATAGTATGTATTAAAAAAGAAATAGTATTGGACAGTAAAATTATCACTTGGATGAAACAATATTCACTGATCAAATATACATAAAATGGACAAAGCCAAATGTTTATCTTAAGCCAAACTGCTGCAACATTAGTCAACTTGTGAATAGACCACTATTGTTTTAGGTTAAAACTTGACAAAAATCATCAATATGGTTTGTTAACTAAATATGAATATCTTTGCTTATGCCTGATAGCTTATTCTTATAACAATGAGAATCCTACCCTGTGATTTTAATTAGACAGCTAAACCACAAAGGGGAATATAAACCCCAAAAAATAAAACAAATGAAAAGGGTGTTGACATAATAATTGGTACTGACCATTTTCAATTGTTTTATGGTATGTTCAATCATACATAAAAAGCAAAGTGTTTGGACTATGAAATAAAGCATGGCTGATGCCATTTAGTTATGTCCATTTCAACTTATTTCATGACTAATTAGGATTCTTTGGGAAATCTGTAGTTTTCACTGCATTGGTGTGTGTGTGTGTGTGTGTGTGTGTGTGTGTGTGTGTGTGTGTGTGTAAGTTAGATAGTTTCTCTTTTAAAAGTCCTCTACTAAAGTCCTATGATAGAATGTACTGTCGTGCACAATGATTGTGGGTAGATTTGAAAAATATACTAGCAAGGAAATGTCAGGGACAGCAAGTAGTTTTGGATTGTCTTGAATATTTTGATTTTGATTTTATATTGAATGACACAAATATTTACATTATTCTACCTTTAATACGAAATTCACTGTCTATGAGAGAATACATTCTCTCATTAATATTGATATAACAGTATCTTTGTAACTCAGGCTGATTTCATGCATCTGATGAAAGCATCATAGCTTATCAAAGCTTCACCTAGAATAAACCTGATCATTTTCAAAATGTAAATGAGAATCATTTGTTTTTGAAAGGGATGGAGAGAAGCTATTTGCAACCACTTCAAATGAAATAAGAAATGATACCTACCTTATTTGTTGCATCAATAAATTTTACTCCTTTGTAAGAGACAGATAGAACAATAGTAGGAACTTTCTTCATTTGTTCGGTAGACTTCTGAAATTAAAAACAAAGATAAAAATGATTGGGGAACTCTGTTATTTCCTTCCTTCTTGCCAAGATAAATAATACATTACCTGCTATGGTCGTGCAGTGCTTCATTCAAAAGACAGAAAATGTTTCAGAGCAAATAGACAAGTATTGTGGTAGTATCTGCAACCTAGTATCTTTTGTTGTGATTATGTGGCAGATATGAAAGGCAGCCATACAATTCCCCCCAAAAAGGGCTGCTTTCAGGAACTGCATCCAGGTACTACTTTTGAACGTCTGTTCATTCAAAGCGCTTGTTTTCTTTGCATCTGAAGCACTGCACACCTATTATCTGTTGTAGCTATAAGAAAATAGTTGAAGTTACCCACCAGATGCTAGAGGGAAAAAGGTTCTGTCTTAATTTATTTAAAAGTGTGCATGGAGGAGGTCTCCTTTCAGGCAAGAAGATAACAGAGAACTGAATGCAGTTGCCCTAATTCTGTAACAGTTAACAGCAGGAATATTTGAACAAGAAAGTAACAGTTATAACTGAATTAACATATTCCATTTTGGTGCTTATGTTAAAATATTTGATTTCTAGGTCTGCAAAGCTTACTATTTTGAAATTAATTGATTTATTTTTTGCTAGGACATCTGGCAGAATGCAATTATTTGCCATTTAATGATTTATGATACCTGTATCATAAATAAAAAGCATTTAAGAAGAGATTCAGACAACCATTTGTATGAAATGATGTAGGGTTTCCTACTTGAGCAGGAGATTGCACTAGAAGACCTCCAAGGTCTCTTCCAACTCTGTTATAATATTATTCATGCCTTTAAATAGATTTATTTTTGCAGAATAAACACCTGATAGTGAAATTTCTAAGAAAGAAGCCTTTTGGTGTAAAGTCTGACAGGGAGGGTTCTCCATTGTCATTTATATCAGTCTTTACCTATTATTATAAAATCACATATACCTGAGGAAAAGATGGGCATTTCAGATTTATGCTTTGTGTCACTTTTACTGTTAAAAAAGACCATTTTCATGGCGCCACCATTCAGAAACAATCTTCAAGAATGGGCTTCACTCTCTCTGGATGGACTTCACCCATGAAAGAAAATTAATCTAACACAGGGCTGTCAAACTCGCGGCTCGCGGGCCAGATGCATTACACACTGGCCACGCCCACCTCGGTTTAGTGAAGAGGGAAATTTGTGAGGCGTCACTTGATGATGCAAGTTTGACGCCCCTGGTCTAAAACATTCCATGACTCCTGGTCAGTTTTCTAGGTTACATATTTAATGGAATACAACACACTCAGAATCTTTCTTTGCATTAAAAAAAAAAAGCAAAATATTACTACTGATCATTTTATAAAAACCAACAAAGAATCATGGAAACCTGTAGGAAAAGCATTATAGATAGTTTTATATAGATAAGATTATATAATAATTGCATTGGGAGAAAGTTGTTTATTGTTTAAAATATTTATAATCTACCTAATTAAGGCATTACAAAATAGCTACCTGAACAATGAGTAAACAATCATTCATCAGGTCAAGAAAATTATGTTATTATGCAAGCACAACAATTTATCTCACTCCAGATACTTCTGAACTAGAACTTGTCACGGCAGCCTCCCTCAGTAACCAAGAAAGAAACCACTCAACTCCATTTTGCAGAATTAAGAGTACTTTT